CCCCACAACTCTTTGCGTGGCAGGAAGCAATTGGAGCTGAGTGACAAACAAACAATATCCAGCCATCAATTATGTTGTTTATATACTTTTGAGCTTTAGGAGGATGGAGGGAGGAGTTATAATTTATGTCTGGCTGCATCTTCACCAACCCGCTGTCTCATGTCGTATTGAAGCTCACATGAAACAGTTTAAATTCACGCTCTTATTTTGAAATGAACGCTTTCCTGTCCTATGGTGTCACTTGAATGTTTTCTGGTGAACAGAGACAGATTTGCACTTAATGATTAGCTTCCACTAAGTTTTTTTTGAGCATTTGAGGTGTTGAAATTGAATTAGCGCTGCCCACCACTGAATATTACTGTATTACCGCATTATACATATCCACAATTATCAAAGGGAGCCTTATATTAAAGGGTTAAAGAGTACAATATTTATAAGGTTCCCTTARGATAATTGTACAGGTTTATTAGTTATTAATAAATGGTGTACTGTCTTACACTTTACAATAGGGCTCTCTTTGYTATTTGTGGATTTGTATAATGCAGTATAATATTACATGTAAAAATGTTTCCAAATCATTATTGTGCTTTCAAGGTAGAAACCTAGTCTGAAATGTTTAATATAGCACCTTTAGATGTAATATAAATAGATTTGGCTCACTATTMGGCAAGAAACTGGACAGTTTTGTCTCTTTCTCGTCCTTAATTAACACATAACAAACACTTATTGATGATTTATAAAGRGTTTACAGATMAATTAATAACCTACCAATAAACTATTTATAAGGGGAGCCTTATTGGTACCAAAAAAGCTTAAAAATCAGTAACAGACATGAGTCTAAGARGATGAATGCTGTCGACTCACAGCCACTCCAGCTTGTGCAGGTCTTTAAAGACTCCWGGCATCAGGACAGTTATCTCGTTGTAGCTCAGATATCTGAAGAAAAAAAAAATTTCAAGGTCACCTGAGGAGTTTGCTTTTAGTGCATGATGATTTAATTAAAGAAAAGTAAAGCTGAATAAATGTGCTGGTAAGTGTGAATCCATTCATAAAAAATTAAAGAACCGATTTCATTTACATCTTTAAGACAAATCCAGTCTGATACCTGATCATATTTTTTGAACCACAAAAAGATTCGTGAGGACATTTTTGTTTACTTTGAAACCTAAAGCAACAAGTTAGTTTGATACAAGGACAAAAATGCTGATGTTAAGGAAAATAAACATATTTGGTGCTACAATTTGTTTAAAAAAATGAAAATAAATAACTGAATGCCACAGAGAGCACTACAGAAAATAGAATTCCTGCCATCTGCAATTTCACTCTTTAGCAGCTCATCTGGGTCTAACAGACGGACCCCCCTCAAATTAACATCTGCCTCCAGCTACTGAAAATATGTAAATTATGTTAACTCTYCCATCATTGCACCACACTGTTACTGTTTGAGAGTATTTTTTATTACTAATGATAGTGAAATGCCCTTATTTTTGAGTTTGTCTGCTGCTGTGACTAATTACCCCCCCCACCCCAAGAAATCAATATATTTTTATTTGTTTTATTCTACCCTAATAGTTATGCAAAAACTGATCTACATACGTTTATCCTCATTGWTTTTTAAAGGAGGAGGAGGTGAAATCAGAAATGCTGAGGTGGATTGAAAGCAATGGTGGGCAGAGGTTAACAACAGAATAACACACGGCACACAAAAATAAGTCTTAATTTTCAAAAAATGATCCACGCCTCTGATGAGTCCACAAAAATCTGACGCAAACGTCTCCAACTTTTTTAAAATGTGTGAAAGCTGCTTTGCATGGAAGAACCGTGCAACATTTTAAAATCTTTTCATTCCTTTGAATCCCGCAGAAAGACGTGACACTGAGATTACAAGGRTTCTCTGCGGGGTTCGACGGTTGGAGACTCTTCAAGTTTTCACTCGCTTTTAGCTTTAAAACCTCTTGAGCCCCATGCAAAATCGTATTTTTTTTGCTTTCTTTGTTAACCAGCTTTTGGGTTTTAAAGACTATGGTCTTAAACT